CAGATAAGACAGCATGAGACTGTCTCAATCTGTACCGTAACAAAAATAAGCATATACATATATAGGTACACACAAACATAAAATAGTATATGGAGTTTTACCATTAGCAAAAAGTTAGATACATTTTTACATTTAATCATGGAAAATAACTGGATATTGTATCAGGCATAGTAGATAACATTCATGTTCAAATGATCAAATATATACAAACTTCTGCTTTATGCTGTTCATGTCTGAAACTGGGGAGAAGTTAGGGCTTAGCAGATAAAATGCCTAAGTCTGGATGCACAGTACCCACATAAAGGCCAGGCACAGCAGCACACAGCTGAAAAACCAGAACCAGTCTGTGCAGACTGGAGGATCCATGAGGCCTTCTAGCCAGCCAGCCCACCTAACTGGTGAGCTCCATGTTCAACAAGTGACCCTGTCTCACAACATAGCGTGGGAAGTTAAAGGAAATACACCTGTGCTGACTTCTTGCCTCCACATGCATGTGTGTGGGCTACACACAACACACATTTATAACACAGGGCACATGCAATTAAAAATAGAACAAGAAGAAAATCAAGCATCCAGAAGAAAAGGCCAAAATTTGGGAAATTAGAACAACCAGAATATTACAGAAACCTTACTGTAAATTTTTTTGCATCTGATATGATTAACAACTATAGTTACTCTGTGCAGGAATCATGTCATAACTTCACAGATGAACAAGTGTGTTCTAGGATTATTAACAAGTATAAAGCTTTACATTTTTATAGGAGATAAAATAATAGAAGCATCAAAAGCATCCTATTTTTATCACTAGTTGCCAAAACACAGCATAAGCTCCTGACAGAACTGTGTATTGTTTTATCTTCAGCACAGTGGCTACACCTTAATCTACTGCTATTTCAGCCAGCAATTGAGTCTCCAGAGTTACCAGCCTGCTTCTCTGGCAGTGGTCCGGCTGCTCAGGCCACAGCCTGGTGGGAACTCTGTTCTTTCAGTCATAGCTTTACCTGAATCTCTATCATTCTAGTCTATCAGTCTACTCATGAATAAGACTCAAGTTTCAAAGGCTGGGGTGAAAACCTGCAAGCTCAGAGAGGTTGAGTAGCAACTAGCTAACCCTTTCTCTTTGCTGACATCCCCCAAATCACACTCACATCCTCCCCATCCGCCAAAACAAAGAAAAGCCTCACCACTCCAAACCCCTCCCTACTGCTTCCTGTGTGTATCTCTATCTCTTCCAGACGCCCTCTGACGCTGTCTGATTACTTTCTGTCAACTAGTTGCTAACTCAGTCTCCTGAGCCTAGGTTAATTTTATTTAATTAGTGAAAATGCACACTTGGGATTCACAGTATGATTGAATATCTGCCAACAACTGTGCAATCTCGTTTTCCTTGAGACATTTTCCAGCCATGGTTGGTAACCAGCTGGTTACTAGTTTACCTGCAAGGCCTCTTGTCCTCCAGCTTCTACCAACAGTCCTCCATATGACTACAAGCACACTGCATGTGAAATGACCCTCATCTGCTAGAACTTTTCATGCAGCTGACCTCCTTTTCTATAGAAAAATTAATAGTTCATATTTTCCCTTCTCTAGGAGGGCCTCTACTGGTGTTTCTATAACCTCATCTAGCAGGTCCAAACAGATAGGATGCATCAGCAATCACAAATATAGAACAACAGACACAGTTACTGCTTTACAGGAAGAACAGATGCTAAATGAAAAGGATCAGCAGAGTCCAAGTCTCACTTTAAGTTCTGAGGCCTTCTCCACAATTGTATCAGCAACTCGGAGCAGGTCACCAAACAGTAATTTCTCTAAACTGGTCCCTCGGGGAAGGCCAAGCAGACGAAAAAGGTCAAGCCAGTGGTCTGGAGAAAGATGTTCCCCTCTTATGTATTTCAAGATAGGAATTATGATCTGTTAGAAAAGAAAAAGAAAGTAAAGAGCAGACTTAACATATGTTCATATCCTTGCAAAATATAAGTTTTTCATGTTCAACTTAATGCAGTTTCATCGGTAATTTTTTTTTAATTTTTTTAATGATTTTTTGGGGGGTTTTCTTTTTTTAATGGTTTATTTATTTATTATGTATAAAGTGTTTTGCCTGCATGTATGCTTGTATACCAGAATAAAGCACCAGATCTCATTATAGATGGTTGTGAGCCACCATGTGGTTGCTGGGAATTGAACTCAAAACTTCTGGAAGAGCAGCCAGTGCTCTTAACCTCTGAGCCATCTATCCAACCCTCATCAGTAATTTTTAATTACTGTTATTTAGTAATCTTGCAACCAAAGTCTTAAATAGAATTATATAAAGTTGTTTATTAAACATCACTGTAAACACATGCATATTACATTTGTAGTTTAATATATCTTAAACCATGACAGAATATACCCCTGCTTTCTGGAACACAAACACTCTAACAGCAACTACAGGTCCTATGGGGATATAGCTCAGTTGGTTCAGCGTTTCTCTGGCCCTAGGTTTAATCCCCATTATTGCAAAAATCCCTACGTATAATCCCTATTGACACAAGAACAATAGGCTAGACAGTGGTGTTGCACACCTTTAATCCCAGCACTTGGGTAACAGCGTCAGGCTCATCTCCAGGTCTGAGGCCATCATGGTCTACAGAGTGAATTCCAGGACAGCCAGAGCTACACAGAGAGACCCTGACTCTTGAAAAACCATAAAAAAAACAAAACTTTAAATTCCATAGTTATATTGCTTTCTGGTAGCAGAACTACATAATTTTTATAATTTGTTATTTCCCCTTTTTTATATAATGGAATAACTTAACTAAACAATAAATTTTAGACAATAAATAATAAAAAGATAAACAATGTCTCCAAACACCATTTTCAAGTGTCAGTTAAAGAAAATACTCTTACTTTATATCTGTCAACTTCTGACTGCAACTTCACTGTCATGACTGAATGTTCTTCAACCTTCCTCAATCTGTCATGCCAGTTCATCAAAAATTCCTCAAACAGATAGGTCTTAGACCTATAAAAAAAAAAGCATGTATTAAAATTCACACTTCCTCCAAAAATGAGCACATTATAAAAACATAAATATTGCTTTAGAATCGAACCGGTAAGTAATCCAATCTTCACTGGCCATTTCCTGGAGACCTTGCTGGAACTCCTCATAAAGAGCCCAAATTTGTGCACAGCTCTCAATGTCCTTAGAGATGCTATATGCCAGAGAGAAGTTGGGCTCTTCTAGTGCAAAATGGTGGCAGTCATCACTACAGAAATAAAAATCAAAATACTGAGTTTATAAAAAGAGAAAAACTGTCAGATACTAATTTACTTAACCACCTTCTGTAGCTAAAATACACAGGGACAACTGCCTACTTTACGGGAGAATTGTACTTTACTCACACTATGGGCACTTTTTCAAAGGTATCATGTAAAGACAGAACATGTAAAGATATTGTTATGTTTCTAATATATGAGTAAATGTTTTCTTTTTATATCTATGGACTGACCTGACAAAATATCTTCTCACTTGAATGTGGCACATTCATAATCTAGTAGGTATACACCATTTAATAGGTGTGATAGAAAATTTCTACTCACTCATCTTAGGGCTACATTTACCCAGACAGGCCATATGTAAAACACTGCACAAATCGACACTTGATAGGACTATTAAGATGAGGCAGCAACATTTTTCCTGGTCCTTTTACTTGTTAGACTAGACTCGTGTGTGCGTGTGTGCGTGTCTGTGTGTCTGTGTGTCTGTGTGTCTGTGTGTCTGAGTGTAGGCCACAGAGGTATCTCAGACACCCTCTTCTACCACTCTCCATTCTTCTGAGAAATGTTTTCTCACTGAACCTGCACTCTTGGTGTTCTGTGGATAGGCTTGGCCAATCATCCAGCCTGACCATTATCCCTGTCTATGTGCTTCAAGTATTGGGGCTATAATTGTACATGCCTCACCCCACCTCTGTGGGAGAGCTATAGTGATGTATTTTTCATAGTTTGTTAAAGCTTGACTGAGGATTCAGAAAAGCAAAGCCAACCTCAAGCTATCAGGCAGTGGTGATGCACACCTTAATCCCAGCAGCCAGAAGCTAGGAGATGGTGGTACACACCATTAATCCTAGGACTCAGGATTAAGAGGTAGACAGATCTCTGGGAGTCCAAGGTCACCCAGATCCACACAAGATTAACTCAGTCTAAAAGAGAATTATAGCTCACACCTCTAATCCCAGCACTAGAGGAGTTTAAAAGACAGCAGCAAGGAATCAGTAGGAAGCATTCATCCTCCAGCCACACTGAGGAGAGTTTACAGTCTGAAGCTTGGTGAGAGCTTGTGGAGACAGGATCAGCCCATTCAGCCTGAAGTAGAGGTCAGAAGCTAGTGGCCAGATTCTTTGCTTCCCTCATCTTCAGCTTGAACCCCAATATCTGTCTCTGGGTCTTTTATTTATTCATGTTACAGAGAGCTGAAGACTCAAGTATAAGCCCATGCTTGTAAAAGCACTCATCTCCCTAATACCTACACTCGAATTTTGAAAGAGGCATTTTCAGTATTTTCCTTAAAATTAAATACTCCATTTTAAAATAGGATGAGATAAAAAAAGTAAATATTACAGCCTCTGAATTTAATATGTAAGCTAATTCACTGTTCTAATCTCTCATGAGTCTTTTTGAATTTTTTGTTTTTGCTTTTCGAGGCAAGGTTTCTCTGTGGCTTTGGAGGCTGTCCTGGAACTAGCTCTTGTAGACCAGGCTGGTCTCAAACTCACAGAGATCTGCCTGCCTCTATGTCCCAAGTGCTGGGAATAAAGGTGTGCGCCACCACCACCACCGGGCTGAGTCTTTTTGAATTTATCTTATGTCTTTACATAGTTCAACCACAGCACCTAAGAATGCAATGATATAACAGGTTGATTATAGTCTTAAATTTTCTAAAGTTTGTAAAGGAAGGTATTAAACAACAGCTCTAATTACAGCTAGGTAGCCTAGTACAAAGGCATAAAATGTTTTTCAAAGTAAGCATCATAAATAAAAAGAAAACAAAACAAAAAACTTACACTAGCTTTTTTCTTATGACTTCAAGATCATCAAACTCAATTTTTTTCTCCTTTATAGACTTTGCACTTTGATCCAGAGTATATTGTTGGCCAGTTTCAATAATATCATCACCAGGTTTCAGCTGATCCCAACGGGCTTTAAACTTCTCCAGTTCTTGGTAATAGATCTGAAGGCGAGACTTCACATTTCCTTTCATCACTTCGATCTGTAAGGCAGGGTTCACAGGACTTAAAACACAGAAAAACCACAGTCCTCACATGGTTAGCTTTCAGCATTTTTATTTAAAAGTCAGAAAAATGTCAACACTGAAAGACTGTTTTTTCATCTTGTCAATTCCAACTATAATAAATCGATCGCACCAAAACTTAGAACAAAATTTACACTAATGAGAAATAAGTGTCAACTATAAACACTAAGTAATTCTTGTAGTTCACAGGACACCTACAATTATCAACAAAAGTGACACATTTTAAAAACAATTCAGGGGCTGGAGGGATGGTTACTGTTCCTGAGAACCTGGGATTCCCAGCACCCTCAAGATGGCTCACAGCCATCTGTAACTTCAGTTCCAGTGAAGTTAAACATCCTGTCTGGGCCTCCAGGAGCACCAGGCCCACAGACATGCATGCAGGCAAAACATCTACACACATGAAATAAAAATAAAAAATTCCAAAGTCTACTGTTGCTCCACATGTGCAAATTCTAATCTAAGAAGGCTATTCCCCACCTTCTGCAGCTGTGACTGCGACTAGCCACTCAACAAAAGATGGAGTGAAGACAGGTGTGTGTGGCCTCAGGCTGCCTCAGAAGCCAGACAGCACCCTCTTCTTCTCCCTCTTTCCCACTGAGGAGCAAGTGGACAGCCAAACACCCTAGACAACACCTCGGCAATGGCTGTAATTTCACAGAACAAGTGAGGGCCTCAGACAGAGAAATGCTATCAAGAAGATGCTCCTGTGAAACTGTCATTTATATAAAGCATGGAAACGTGATAAAAAGAACTGAGGGGGATGGAGAGTTCCAACAGCAACACTGAGCTCTCAAAGCTGGGCTACACTGAGACTAGCTCAGGCTCTCACCTGGTCTTTAATCATGAGTTGGTGACTCTCCATCATCAGCTCGAATTTGTCCCACTTGGCTCTCAGACTGCTGACTGTCTCCACCCCACCGCCTGCCACAGCTCTTTGTCTTCAGCTTCTTGAAACAGGGGCAAAATCTAAGGATTAAAAAAAGCAATGGATCATTTTATCAGGCCCTCAAGATTTTATTACTTTGATTCTTATTTCATGATTTTTTTATTTAAAAATGAAATAAAATTTTAGGAGGTTTTTGTTTTTAAATGATTTGTTCAAGTCCCAGCTATAAGGCTTCTGGTGTGTATTAATAGGTATAACAAACACATGATAATGTCAGAAGTTAAAAGGGATGAAAATAATAATTAGGAGGCAAAGGCAAGAGAATCAGAAACTCAAAGTCATACTCCACTACATAATGAACTCAAGTCCACCGTGGATGATAAGAAACCATCCATGCCTTTAAAATAAATAAATACACAGAGAAAGGAAGGGAGGGAAGGAAATGGAAGGGAAGGAAAGGAAGGAAGAAGGTCTGCTCCAAAACCAGATAAAGACATAAGAGAAAAAGAAACATATAGCCTAATTTCCCTGATGAACACAGACATACAAATCCTCAGGAAAATACTTGCCAACTGAATTCAATTCTACACCATAATTAAGCTAGATTTTATTCCATAGTTGCAAGGGTGGTTTAGCAGATTGAAATCTGTCAAGGTTATGCAGTGCCACTGTCCTTGTTTGCCTACTCTTGCTGGCGTTAAACATTATAACCAAAACAACTTCAGGAGGAAAGGATGTTTTTCATCTAACACTAGGGGAGTCAAGGCAGACCCTTAAAGAGAAACCTAAGCAGAAGCCATTGAGAACAGTGCTTACCTGCTCACTCTTCTAAAACTGCCCAGGCCACCTGCCTAGGGATATGCCTCCCACGGTGGGCTGGGCCCTCTTGCATCAATTATCAATGAAGACAATGACCCACAGACAAGTCCATGGGCCAAGCTTATGGAAGCAGTTCTTTAACTGAGGTTCCCTCCTCCTAGGTGTGTCAACTGACAACCAAGATCAGCCAAGGAAGTGCATAAAGAGATTATGGGACAGAAATGACATGCTCATTTCCACAGATGCAGACGAGGCCCTTAGCAAGTTCTATCCTCCACGATCAAGAGCCCTGTGGCCAGGACTAGAAAGGATGAAGGTCTGTTTAACGGTGGCTGCATAATATGGGAAACATAAAACACTGTACCAAAAGAAGACTCAAGAGTTTACAAAAAATTTAGAGTCTTCTTCCTTCTTGTTCTGAACAAAACTTTAGTCATTTAAATGTCCTGCAATGCTGCCTTGCTCCTTCTGGATTCTGCTTTTACCAATCTCACCTCGCATCTTTAACTGTGTGTTCTCCCTTGTGTATCTCTTCTAACTCTGTTCTAACATCATATTCTGCACACTAAGATTCCAATTCTAAAGACAAGTATGGATTGTTTACTTTACTGTTATCCTAATATATGAGATCATAACAAGGCAGCAAATACCTCTAAGATTAATACAAAGTGTTACAGATACTACTTCATTACACCTCAAGAGTAATCATGCGCTACCCAGTTAGACCACATTATACAGACCTCTTCACCGTGTTAAGATTACATAGGTCTAAATAATCACGCAAAATACCTAATTTACACATCTCTATAAAGTAAGGATGACAATAATTGCTTTGGAATCTCACCTGTGGCCTCCGATCCTGGAGGTTACTATACTGTATATTAGTATCACCTATTTCTTCCACAGACTGAGGTATAACTGTTAAGATCTTCATAGCCTCAGTAACAAATGTATCGATTTCATGTATATGAGCTGAAAGGGACAATACCAAAAAAATACTCAGTTATGGTTACCTGAGTGCTAAATCAGGGGATTCAGAAGTAACTGCTACATAAAGCACACTCCATTCTCAATTGTCATTTGCTTTCGGGTAACAGAAGTTTGAAATGAAGAGTAAGATAACTTTCTTCCTATGAGAGGTAAGTTGTTTTACATTACACATTTACAATTGTTCTAAAAGGAGGCAGAGACATAGCTCAGCAGTTAAGAGCACAGGCTGCTGTTGCAGAGAACCTGGGTTCAGTTCCCAGCACCCACATAGAGGTTCACAAACATCTAATTCCAGATCCAAGGAACCAACATGCTTTTCTGATCTCCATGGGCAACAGGCACACATGTGGTACACACATAGGTAAAGCACTCTACACATCTAAAAAGAAATTAACGAAAATATTGAGAAAAAAAAAACCTAAAATGTATTCCTTCCTAGTTATCTTTACTAACAATCAGAAACATTTCCAGCCTTCTAAATAATGCTAAAATGTTTCAATTCACCATTTGGAAAACTAAAGATAAATATTATGTCAGAATTATTATCATTCACAATTTCATACAACAAATCAATACTATCTAGTCTTTCAATAACAAAACTGTCTGGTTTTCATATGTTTAAAGGATAAATGAGAATTTTGCTACTTTCTTAAAATTATCATTTTGAGTAAATTTTATTTAAGAAGATATCCTAACTCAATTTTAACCTATAATTGAGATTCACACTTTCTAACTATAGAAACCATGGCTCCAAACACAAAAGTGATACAAAGCTTTACTCTGGATGGACTTCTTCAGAGAAAGGACAAGCATATCGAATAACTTCTGGATGAGGTCATCGATCACAGTCTTCACGGGGCTGCAGTTGATGTTGAGACAGTCCACCCTGACAGCACTGAGGAGCCAATGGACACAGGGTTCCAAGGTTATCATGAGTTAGAACACATCTCAACAAATTCATCAAAGTGTAACTATAACCTTTAAAAGCATACATATAGATTTAATCCAAAAACTTCCTTCTATACACAACCTAGGTTTCCAGTGAGTAAATACGTTTAGCACTGATTCTCTTTGTTTACCTGTTTGACTGACTGTCTGTCCCAGTCTAGCCTCAAACTCACAATCCTTCTGCCTCAGCCTCCTCAGTGCTGCAATTATGTTCATGTATCACCATACCTGGCTTAAAGTACTAATTTTTAATCATGAAATATGTCCCATTTTTAAAAATTATGAGTGATTACAGTACCAGCAAAAGAATATATTTAAATATTTATAAGTTCTAATTGTTTATTTATATATAAATAAATATTTATTTCATATTTGTAAAGTAAATTATTTTGTAGCCATCATATAAATAAGGATAAAAAACAAATATAGACAGAATGAGGAATGAATATGGATTATTAAGACACTAATCAATAAAGCCAACAATGCCATTTTACACCTATAAAATTGACCAAAATGGAAAAAAAAAGTTAATTTTAAATCAGTCTTCAATTTATAGGCAAAAAGCACGTTCAGGAATGTTGGTGAGAGTATAAAACATTCAAACTAAGCCAGGAACAGAGGCAGTTCTACACCAGCACTTGGAAAGTGGAGGGAGGAAATCACAAGTTTGTGATCATCTGTACTAACAAGAGAGTTCAAGGCCAGCCTGGGTTATGCTATCTATAAAAAAAAAAATCAAATTTTATGAAGAGCACTTTAGTCATAATTTTAAGAGATATACTTTGTCTCAAGAAGTCTACCTTTAGAATGTGAATCTTTTTGTTTACTTGTTTTGAGACAAGGTATCCTCATGTGATGGTGGTCTTGACCCTCCCATCTCTACCTCCAGTGCTGGCATTAGAGGCATGTGTCACCATGGCCTACCTCTAGAATTGATCCTAACACACCATCTTGGATGAGACCATGCAACTGCCACTTTACTAAACCAGCATAATCCCTAACTATATTCTAAACATTTGTCCATATACCTACAGATATGTATAGTCCTCTTATCTCATCAAGGAGCCTTCTCTTTGCAACATAAGGAGACAACTACAGAAAACCACACACAAACCAATCAAAATGCAGAGTTGTGGAACCCAGTCCCAATGGATTGATGCATCACAACACAACTCCCACACCAAAAGCTGGGGAGATCATCGAGGAAGTGAAGGTGGAGAGACTGTAAGAGCCAGAGGGTAAGGAGTTTGTTCTGAAATTGTGTCTCCTAGCGATGTCAGAAGTTACTCCCATTAAGTCTCACCAACATGGCTGCCTAAATATGATCTGAACAAGGACAATAGCAATAGACATGCCAAAATGGATGGGGAAAACACACTAGGCTTCAACCCTACACAAAGAACCACAAGCAACTAAGGAACGGGGTGGGGGGACACCAATCCTTATCTAATACCACATGGTCAGAACTGAAAACATATACAAGCATACTGAGAAGGTTGTACTTAATACTTAGAATACACACACAACAACAATTAAAGAAAGAAAAAGGCCATGAATTTCAATGAGATATATAGGAAGGTTAGGAGAGGGGATGATGTAATTATCTTATGGTCTCAAAAAATAAAAGAAGCAATTTTTTAAAAGTTTAAGAATTCTTTCTTTTTAGTTTCCCATAGCCAGGCTAGCTTTAAATTTCCTCGATAGCCAAAAACAGCCTTGAATTCTTTATCGTCCTTGCCTGGCCCTCCCAATTACAGATTCACACCACCACACTCAGTTCAAAGGAAATGTTTAAGCCAGATGCATTATCAAAGTATTAACTGTGAAAATTAGGGAGCAAGCTGAGTCCAGGCACTCATGAACAAAAGGCAGGAAGACAGTTAATTCCAAGATAGGCTGTACAGTTTAATGAGAGCCTGTCTTAACATAAAAATAAAAATGGCTGGGGTATAGCTCAGGGTAGAGCAGTTGCCAAGCATGTACAAGGTGCTGGGTTTAGTCCTCTATACCATAAAAATAAATAGGTAGGTAGGCAGGTAGACAAACATGATAAGTAACTATTTCTACATCTCAATGTCTCAGGCTTGCTAACATTCTAACAAAACTATCCCTGACTTTTTCCCTATACTTAACTTAATGTCTAATATATAGTATATTCCATTCAGTATTAAGAACAGTTAAGAAACTATTAACAACATTTGAAAATATAATCTGTACCAGTAATATACATGTTAATTACTCCACATAATCCTCAGAAGTATTACTTGCCTTGCAAGTATGTTGAAAGTAGAAGAAATTGAGGTTCATACTTTAAATTTGTGCCGAAGTCATGAAACTGCTGACCCAGCTAACTACAGAACCCAGTCACTAAGCCCCTCAGCAGCCACAAGGTCCTCATCAAACACACTTGGTACACTACTAGAGTAAATGCCTAAGTCTCAGGTATCTCTTCATCTTGCCCATAGTTACGTAAAGTTCTTTGTGTTATCAGTGCTCATCAAACACTTACTAAAAGAAAGACTAAGTTAATAAGGGTGATGGATGCTGTCTTTCATAAGTGATGTGTTTGTTCTCCTGGAATTCATTTTCACTAACAGTTTCAGCAGCTGCAATTTCAGTAGCAGAGGAATACATTCTCACAAAGCTGGGTCATGAAATTCCCCTCAGAGACCTGTGACCACATTTGCAGCAGTGCCCAGATGTGTCTCTGTGCTACATCCCCCACAGGCGCCTCTGAAGGGAAGCATTATAGCCAAAGGGTGGAAATAAATTCCACTAGCTTTATAGTCTCTGCAAGACTCTCAGCAGCAGCTTCCAAAATACAACTTGACTGTACTAAATATTGGCTCCTCATCCTATAACTGAAGGTAGCCTCTACTCCAGTCTGTTCTACCCAACCAGGTCTCAGCAAACAGTCCCTAGAATGCAGCCTTCTCTCATCCCCCCACCCCCACTGTCCTACCCAGACAGTAGTTGGATCTACAGGAGGGAATAAGCCGACTGCGTGAAGTACCTCTCAGTACAGGCCCTCTTACCAGCCACATCACAACTACTGTTGCACAAGCACATCAACTTCTCATACCTGGGGAGCCGTTCAACTTCTTTCCCTTTTATTTTCAGTGCTTTAAAATTTTTCTCCCAATCATGCACAGTAAAAAGATGCTTTTCGACCAGAGCTTCCATGTCAACTTGTCCAATTACAACCCATTCCTATTCAAAAAAGGAAGACCATACTAATGAAAGGGAGCCCACAAACTACTAGTGAAAGAGTAGGACCCCTGATTTAGAGCAATGAAGTGAGGAAAATAAACCACTTCAGAATCTCTTCTCAGATTAATATATATAAAATTCAAGGGCAGAATCACTCATACGAAGTATAACTTACAGATCTACAAGTATCCAGCTTCCGACCAATCTAGAAATCTAAAATGCAGACATCTACAGTGCAAGGGCACTTGAGGAACTGATCAAACTTCTCTATGACTCTTGCTCAGCACTAAGATGAGCGTTTGTATTTTGGAGTTGGTTAGTATCATACACTTACTCAGAAACAGTCACAATAAATTGTCATGTCATAGTGATATTTTAAACAGGGACAGGGGCAGACATTGTGGTGTATAAGACATACAGCCTAGATTTACACAACCTGGGCTTGTGCAAGCACATGCTACATTCCCCAAAAATAAAACTGCCCAAGTGAAGGATTTCTCAGAATGCACACCATTAAATCTCTGTAATTAAATTAGCATTGGAGCACTCTCTCTCAAAATATATTGACTTCAGAATTAAAACTGATGCAAATGTCACATCACACTCCAAGCTGATTTAAAAGAATACAGAATCTGTTTCCCAAACTTCATAAAATATGGCAAAACTGGCCATAACTTCTTTCCTTGTTCAGCATAAACTTAGGCTGAGAGTCTATAAAACTGCCTCCCTGGTTTGCACATTTTAAGTTCACTTCACCATAGAGTAAATATGTATTTGTATATTTACTAAATCAGTAACATTTGTGACACGGGTAGGAATGTACATGCTCCATACCTTATGTTGATGCAGAACAGCAGATAGCCTTCTAAACAGATCTTCTGCTTTACTGTAAATAGTCAGAAATCCACTTGCATTTCTATCAATCATAACAGAAAATATTGACTCATCTCCAGCCTCGCCCACTCCCTTAAACTGGTTGGGAATGCCAATGAACCTCTTCATTTCTCTGTAGTATTTAGCCCGGATTTCTTCAAAAGGGGGCCTAAATTGTAACCTTCCCTGTCTGAAAAGACAGTATGAATGACATTATAAATCTTTTTAAAATTATATTACTTAAAATATAAATTATTACAAAGATTGAACTTGAAGATGAAATGGGGATTTCAAAGCATCTCACTTGTAGGTTAAGTCTACATTTATTTCTGGCAGGTTCTCATTCAGTGCCTCCAGGCCCATCTGATACTGGTGCTCCAGAGCCTTGTAGAGCTGGTGGTTCCAGTGTTGCCTCCAGGCATGCATGTCACTGGCTTGGAACCCCTGAAATGTCATTCACCTTTTCAATTTGAAAATTGGTGCTACATGGTTTTTTTTAACTTATGATTTTTCAAGCTACATAAAAGCACATTGAACAGATTAAAACTCACTTTAAATATCTTAAAACATGCAACTCTAATTGCCAGTTTTAGTAAGATGGCTTATGAAATATTCAACATGAAAATCTCACTGTAAATATACAAGAGGCTCACTAAAATTAAAAATTCAAGCCAACATTACATTTTTTGAAGCTGGTTTTACAGTAGTCTACTTTGTGAATTCTTTTGTATTTTTTCAAAGTTCTCAAAAAAGTATCACTCTTCATTTCCTAATCCCTAATAATTCATTGAACATTTTAGAAAAAAGAAACTCGCTGGGCAGAGGTGGCACATGCCTTTAATCCCAGCACTCAGGAGGCAAAGGTAGGTGGATCTCTGTGAGTTCAAGGCCAGCCTGGTCTACAGAGTGAGTTCTAGGACAGGCTCCAAAGTTACACAGAGAAATACTGTCTTGAAAAACAAAAAAACTAACTAAATAAGAAACTTAAATTAGATTTCTCCAAATACTTGCTTTTGTTTGATATTGCTGTTTGCTCTCATAAAGCATAAAGACATGTACTCTAGCACTCTGGGCTTTTTCTTCAATTCTGAGAACTAGAAAATATATAAAACAGCTGACTCACATGCAGCTCAGAACCTAGCTACATGAAAATGTGCCCCAGAAGAAAAAGAATCCTGACAGTTACTTCACATAGACTTTGGTTTGAACCTAAATTGCATTCTGCAGATGTTACAGTCTCTTGAAAGAGAACAGCAAACAGTAAATTTGTAAGCTCCAAGTCAGAACAGCAAACTAGACAGGGACTTAGCAGTGTGAGACACAGAGAAGTTTCCCTTTGCATAGTTAACACAGACTCGACGGGATCTATGGCATTTGTATGAGTCAGTCAGAGAATTCTGTATTTGTAGGGGTGCCAACTGATGTCTCTGATTTTGTATGCACTTGTCACTGAGCCATGCATCCAGACCGTGAAGCACAGCCCACGTACCTGAGCTGCCACACTTGCTAAGCCAGTTCTCAGTTCCTGCAGCCCATCTTTCCAGCGCTGCTGCTGCCGAAGCAGATCGATATTCATAAGAATGACCACCTGTGAGGAAGAGAGCAACTTTCCAGTGACTCAGCCACCTGTTCAAGTGACAATGTACCACCCACCCTGTGTAACCTGTCAATATCTGACTGGTGCACTGAGAAGGGCAAAATATCACTGCAGTACTGTTCCAGCCAACACTGCACAGGAAGCAGCAAGCTCAGGAGGACTCCTCTCATGAGGAAGCACCACGCACTCAACTACCAGGTGCAAAGTGGAAAGCAGGCATCTGCCCTTAGGCAGAACACAGAATTTGCTGAGAAAGTTACAAGCCCCAAAGTCTGGTTTTCTGGTACTGACAACTGTACTCTGGCTAGGTTAGCAATTAACAGCAGAAGCCAGGTAAGGAGAACCAAACTATTTCTGCAGCTATAGATCTTAAATTACTTCAAAAGAAAAAACAATAGCTACATACTAATTATATTTATTCTGTTATTTTCATAACATGATAAATTCTATAATAAAATATACCTTTTCACAAAAAGTAGTGTGCCATTTTCTCAGCTTTCTATTTTCAGTGGCAAGTCTCTCAGCAGCATTTTGGAGTTTCTGGATGTAGCCTTCTAATTCTTTAGGGTTGTCCCAAGTAATCTGTGACTTGCCTCCACTTCCTGCCTTTGAATTCTACAATACAATAAACAATAGTATTCAGATACATTTCTTTTTCCAAAAAGGTTTAATTTTATGTTATAAGCCCAACTGTTCTTAACATTGATCTCTATGAAGATTAATATATTTCAAAATGTTTGCTGTCACAGTGTACCACATAGTTTAAAACCTATTGTGAGTTTTTCCAATTTCCCATGTGTGGACATTGAAATGAACAAGAAAGTGAATAAGCATTGAGTTACAAAACCTGGAAATGGTTTAAAACAAAACACACAAGAATTCAGGATCTCAAACTAAGTGGAAAAGAATATAATAGCATGAAAACTGTCTATGATATATATTAATGTAGCTTATCAAAACCAATACCAAAGTATGTAAAGTCTTCTAATTTCTTAAATCTCACTAAGAACAAAGGACTTACTAGAGAAAGGATGAAATGAAGCTTGCTCAGTGGCTGCTGGTGGACTGAAAACTGAGAAAGAACCTATTTGACTGCATCACAAAGCAGAGTCCTCTCACTTACCTTAATTATCTGTTCAAATGCTAAGGCAGACTGCAGCATCATTGGCCTCTGACTCTGAATCATCTGTTGATCTATGGAATTGTAAAAATGTGCCACCTACAAAATTCAAGTCCAATTAGCAGCAAGAAATAATAAATTTTGTTTTTAGCACATTTTCTTTATTTTTGTTTGAATAGTAATAATTTTTCTCAACTGTAAAAATGGTTTTTCATCTCCAAATCAAAGTTTATTTATGAGTCAATATGCCCAATCAACACATATATGTTGAGTTCCTACAATTTATCAAGTCATGTCCTAACAATGGTTAAACAGACAATAAATTTTAGTCTCTGGAATCAAGTTTATCACATTGGGAAGAAAGGAATCCAGACTAAAGAAAGGCTCAGTACTGAAGGACCAAATTTCCATCTCCTGCACTTCTCAAAAGCATTCAAGCCCTTTGTAGAATCAGACACAACTATCTATATGCTTAAGCCCTTTATAGAATACAACACAACTGTCTATATGCTCAAGCCCTTTGTAAGATACACACCACTATCTGTTCATCATTCTGACCAAAATTTGACTTTATTAATGTTTTCTCTCAAATTCCACATTAGCAAAAACCTCTACTTTCAAAATATACCTTAGTCCAACCACATTTTCCTGCCTCTATCCTCTAATTCAAGCACTGATCTCTTAGCAAGACCAGGGAAACAGTCTGCAAACTAACTAGTCTCCCTGCTTCAAATCCTAGCTTCTCAAGTTACTGTATGATGTTGGAAAAGCCATTGCACATGTGCTCCCCATTATATGGGGAAAATGGAGGATGAATTGAAGCAGTTGTTCCTCCTTGATTCTCAGGGCAGATGTTCCTATATCCACAGGGGGTGAGAAAATCCTGAACATTGTACTCCAATACCATCTACATCTTAAGTACTCATCATGCAAAATGTATAACTTAGTTTCCTGAGTAACAGCAAAATTAACACGTCTACACAGGAGGCTCATCCTTACACACAGCTTACCAACCTCAGCACACAATTCCCTCTTGAATACCTTTCATGTTTGCTCTTCAAGGGAGGCATATTACAGTATCAAAGTTCCTCAAAAGGTAAAATAGAACTACCACATGACCCAGATGTAGCACGTCTGAATATACCCAAAGTACAGAGACACATCCATGTTCATTGCTATTTTATTTGCAATAGCTAGAAATGGGATCCGTCTAGATGTCCAACAATTGATGAAAGGATAATGAAAATGTAGTCCATATACACAGCTATAAAAAATAAAATTTTCAGGAAAATAAGTAGAACTGGAAAATATCATGTTAGTGAGATAATGTAGGTCCAGAAAAACAAACACTACATGTTCTCTCTCCTATGCTGATCCTAGCTTAAAATTTTTAGATCTGTGTGTTTAACTTCCAGGAAAGCAGAAGACTGAGGTGGAGGTAGGAGCTTTACTGGGGCAAGAGAGGAGAACATTGGGGATTAAAGGTTTAACTAGGAGTAGGGAGTGGAGGAATAGGAGAGAAAGAAGTGGGAAATGAAACAAAACTAAGGATGTAAAAAAATCCTTATAGAAATGCCATCCTTTGTAAGCTATTAAAAATGATTTTTTTTAAAAGGAATTGGGACAATGGTACTCTGAATGGCTTGATAATGCAGAAGAAACGGTTACTATATGAAAGCCTCAGTAACAAGTATGGCACACCTACCTAGAGGTTATTGATCAGGAAGACAAGGCAGGCTATTATACACATTGCTTGTTGTCAACCTTAACTAGAGCATAAGACCCTATTGCTATTGACACCACACATTTTGAATGCAGTGCATACAAAAATCAATCTGGAAACAGCCAAGCACCTTCCTCTCTAATGGCTAGCATTCACAGTTTGGCAGGTGACATACAGGCTGAATGGAGATTAATGGTCTGTGGTGGTTTGAATGAGAATGCCCCCAAAGGTTCATATATTTGAATGCTTAGACCCCAGCTAATGAACTATTTGGAAGGATCAGGAGGTATGGCCTTGTTGGAGTAGATGTGGCTTTGTTGGAGATGTTTCAAAAAATGTCCTCACCAGGCCCAGTTTCTTTCTCTGCCTGCTGCCTGTGGATCAGGATGTAAAGCTCTCAGCTGCTACTCCAGTGCCATGCTTGTCTGCTTCCTGCCATGATTATCATAGACTAACCCTCTGAAACTAATAAGCAAATACCCAATTAAATCTTTTCTTTTGAAAAGAATTGCCTTGGTCATGGTATCTCATCACAGCAATAGAAATGTAAGTAGGACACCGACTTACTGACCACTGGACCCATCCTATAACAATACTGATCTGCCAAGCAAAATGTACTCACTGGTGCACTATTTGGCATGACAGTTACAGGTGTCCAAAGTGCTTTCTGGTGGATTTAAGGCCTGCTCCACAGACGGAAATGCATATCTGGTACTATAAACCCAATCAAATGACCAGGAAAGCTCCAGTGGTAAGAAGAAATCTACAGTTAACACTGCACTAAATATTCATATTGCCAACTGCTCTCTAAATATTTTTGATAACCACAAAATAGTGCAACTCTATCCTTGGTCAGAGAAGCTCCTTTTTTCAGTGGGTAGCAGTTAATGTGAAAAGTCATAATTAATTAGTCAAAAAGCTGAGAAAAGTGACTTGTGAGTGCTCCACCCTCATTGAAACATCTATCAAATCTTTGCCAAAGGCTAAAGGAATCTGGTCCATAGTGGGGTGGAGGTGATATAGGAGGTAGGGAGTACTGTGAAATGCTGTCTTCTGCACATGGCATATGGACTCACAGGTAGACAGGGCATGGCCTTGCTCACATGGACTCATAGACAGACATGGCATGGCCTTGAACATATGGATTCACAACTGGACATGGCACAGCCTTGCACATATGAACTCACAGCAGCTGTGGTTTCTATACAAGATCAAGACAACATTTCAACACTGACCTTAAAAGACCTTACCCTAGCTGGGAAGCTACCAGGAGTTGGGGGCTGCTGTGGAAATGAAAGTCATCTTTGAGGGCTGTGGCCTCTGGTGAGTGAAGGGGCCCACACCAATACACATGTGGGCAGCAGTAATAGAACTCAGTGAGTTATGAGGGCATGAACATGACAAGGGGTTGTATTGGGAGATCCAGGTAGAGAGGGAGAGGTCAATGGGAGTCAGTATGATCAAAATAGATACATTATGAAACTGTCAAAGAGTAATAAAAAAAAATATGTTTTTAAAAGAAGTGGGCCTGGAAGTTGGTACCACAAATCTGTAACACTTGAGAGGCACAGGCAGGCTAATCTGAAGCCAGCCTGATCTACATAGCTAGTCCAAGGCCAGCCAGGGCTATATAGTGAGACCTTGTCTCAAGTAACTAATTAAAGAGAGGTAGGGCTTAATAGAAGGTCTTTAGAGTAATGGCAATATATGCTATTAAAAGGAATTGTGAGGCCTCTCCCACCCCTTCTCTCCTTTTTCCTTCCTAGCCATAATAAGTGGCTTTACACCACCCATGTTCCTACCATGTGCTGCCTTGATGTAGACCCAAAAGCAAGACAACTGACCACAGACTGGAACTTCCAAATCTGTGAACCAAAACACTTTCTCTTCTAAGTTGACTCTCTTGAGTGTTTGCTACAGTACAGAACACTTCAAAGAGTATAGGCACAGAAGGCCAAAGCTGTAAGTTGACCTGGACCTGATTCAAGAGGTTGACAACCAGTAACAAGTGTCTGTTTTAAACAGGGAAACAACAGCATGGTACAAATAAGTAGACCAAGACAGATTAACCTGGGAATCCTCTATGAGTATCTGAAAGATAGGTAGAGGACTTTCACTGTAAGTTCCTTTAAGACTTTGCAAGTAATAAGAAAAAGGGAAAAAAGAAGAGAGTGGAGAGATTAGGACAGGAAAGAAAGAAGGAATAATATGTCATTTTTCCAAATGGTTTTTGAATGAAAATGGCAATACTATCTTAAGTTTAATTATTTTTAGCAAGATTAACAGCAGATTTTAACTTACTAATTTAGAAAACCTTAAATTCACAAGTTAATAATCTATTACAGGAACATAAAAAATTAAAAGCAGAAAACAAAGGCCTTAACAGTCTAATTTAGCATAATGAACCAAGAACAAGAACACCATGAAAAGTATCACTCATACTTGCTTAAGAATGATGGCTTGCTTGCAGAACTTCTGGGCAACATTTGCAACCTGCTGTATTTTGGCAGGAATGACAAAGCCCAGGGCAGAGAGCTGACGGACTTCTCGCAGAAGAATCACCAAACGATCAGAATAATGTACTTTTAACGAACCATCATTAGGATCTAACTCCATAATTCGGCTGTTAGCCTCAATACTGCAGGGAGAGAGAGAGAGAGAGAGAAGAGAGAGAGAGAGAGAGAGAGAGAGGAAAAAGAATCTTTGAAGCTTCACTGTTCTTATTCTTTTGTCTGATGAAACTAATTTTTAAAAAAAGTACTTCATTCAACTTTTCTGCAAATCTAACAGTTTAAAAAAAAGTCAAAAAAAATAAAGCTTTTCTAATCCAGGCTTTACAATTCTGTTTTTCCTGCTTATTCTTCAAAAGAAAATAATATATGGTTTTTGTTACCAATCATCTCATCCTGCTCTCCCAGAGGGTCAAAGTTCAGTTTCCAACACCCAAGTTAGAGGCCCACAATCTCCTCTGACTCTCATGATCTGGTCCCCTTCTTGCCTCTCGAGGTACTGGTTCATACATATGACATTCACACATACACACACAAATAATAATAAATCTCTAAGACAAAAAAGTAAAAATGTTTTAAATGCAGTGAGTCATAAAGAAACAGCAGCAAGTCTGTAGAGAGAAGGGCTCCTTCCACCTTGCCACATGGATTACAAACAGAAGAGAATTCAGGGGAATGGCACTTACCACAAACCTGATCTGGAATCAGACAACCCTGACTGAACTTCCCTGGACCAGTCATCAAACTGTTCTTGTTCGTACAGCTTAAACTGGTCCAAGAGATCTTCAGCACTCCAATGGAAAGACCGAAACCCTGATAGGTCAGACAAAAGCGCTTCTGCAATCTTGATAGTATCATCTACCTTAAAGACCAAATGACAAAGATGCATCAATACTAACAAAATTTTACCATAAAATAAGGAGGCCCTTTCTCTGACCTGAGGCTCAAAATTATTTTCCTATCATTGTAAACATGGAAAAATGCTTTTCTATAAGGAATAAGCATATCACCCTCCTAGTGACTTTGAATTATACAACCTCAGAATAATAAAACCCAAGAGGACAGCCCGAGCAAAGCATGATACGAAGGGTGACATGAAGGAAAGGCAGGCCACACAAGAGCTGTGCTCCACTAATTTTCAGAAACTCCAAGAAGCAAATGCATTACTCCTAAACATGTTCACAATAGTACTAGCCATAAGCTTTTGTTAAAAGCTCAAAAAATAATTAGGCAAATTTGAACATCAGCTAAGAAAGTGTCTTCCTCTATAACTGCCCATTCTGGTACACACAAAATGACTAGTGGGGAAAATGATGCAAAATATTTCAGATTATAGTTCAAAGATACAAATTGAGTAAGAAGTAGGTTATATTAATATTCCTTGACCTTAGCAAGGTGGTGGTGGTACATGCCTTTAATTCCAGCACTTGGGAGGCAGAGGCAAGTGGGTCTCTGTGAGTCAGAGACCATCCTGGTCTACAGAGTGAGTTCTAGGACACCCAGGGCTACCCAGAGAAACTGTCTCAAAAAACCATAAAACAAAACAAAAAATCCTTGACCTTTTGCCCTTGAACACAGACCATATTAAATTACTAATTATCAAACAATTAACGTTTATTATACAAGTCAAATACAAAAACTATATATACTAATAGTAGGTCCAAAAGAATCTTAGTCTGTTTTAACAACATCATCATAGACAGTTATGAGGAATGACCTTTCACCTCTCCTTTAACTTGTAAACTCAAGTAAGTCAGCGATGTAAAAACACTTGTAAAAACACTTGCAGATAAACTTTAAAACCATCAGGATTTCCCAAGTGTGTCTTTTAAATCTAGTGTCACGAATACAGTAGTCCTCACAAATGCTTTCAAAGACCCTGAGTGACACAACTTGACAATCACATCTATGTAAAAAATGAACTGTATAAGAATGTTCTTTACACATTTGTTCTCAGACTTCTATATTTCAATGACAATTAGATGCTGTTATGGCATGAAAGTAAACAGCATCCTACTGGATTAGGCACATGGTCCCAAGCTGATGACACTGTTTGAAGTGTCCCTTGGACATGGAGCCTCCCTGATATGAATAGCCGTGGGACAGAGATAAAGGTCACAGCTTAGCAAGGTTCTGCACCAGCTGTTTCCTGACCTGCCAAGATATCATGCCATTAAGCTTCAGCAACCACACACTCATTGTGAGCAAAAGTAAATCCCACTTCCCTTTAATTGCTACCTGGTAATTGGTCACAACAATGAGAAAAGTAACTGCATACAGGGAGAACACAGGATGTTCCTAACAGTTTTAGAGTCCTTATTACATGCCTTAATTTAGTACATTTGGAATGTTCACTGTTCTTCAACTATATTAAAACAATTACCTTCAATTCCAACTGACGAACCCAAACAATGTTATTGACAACTTCTGAAAGATTTTTGCCAGAAAGTGGCCCAGAGGCATCACCAGGAATCCCTCGGCACCGATTCTCAAAGTCCAATCGGAAATCTGTATCATTCAAATCACATAAATTACACAGAAGTAGTATATTTCAATTCCTATGGAAATGTTGTAAATGTTGGTCCTCACTGCACCACAAGAACCTCAGAGTGTATATGATGAGGATGTTGGTCCTCACTGTACAAGAACCTCAGAGTGTATATGATGAGGATGTTGGTCCTCACTGCACCACACGAACATTAGCATGTATATGATGATTAGTGCTGTCTACTTGACACAACACAGAATCGCCTGGGATGCAGGCTCTAGGGGGATCATGGCATGGTAACTGATGTGGGAAGAAACATCTGAGGTTGGAGGCTGGAGAAAGCCAGTTGAGCATGAGCACTGTGTGTGTCACTGTTCTCTCCTAACTACAGGAACAAGCGCCTGCCTCCCTGACTTCTCCACTG